GGGGGGGGGGGGGACGGGTTCACGTGCGCCCACGTGGGGGCACGCTGCTGATGTGGTGCGAGATGGTTGTCCCTGATCCGTCTTGTCATCTTGCGAGGGGGATTACCCTCCTTGTCACGCTCTGGTTTGGAAATATTCCTCCAGCATCTCTGCAACGCCAACCACTACAGTCCAAGCCTCTTTTGGATTCTCCCTGCCGACGCTCTCCGATCTTCGGAAACTAGACCGGGTGATCCTCGAGGGTTGATTTGGCTAACTTCGGTGGACGAATGTGGGCGATGGCGTAATTTGACCGGCATACTAACCCGAAGTGTACCGGTCAAGTTTCTGGCCAACCAACCATCCCTTTGGATTCAGATCTCACTCCAAAGTTCGACCTTTCTGACCGGTCAACTATCTCAGTTATGCCCTTTGACCGGTCGTGGGTGAAATACACCCATCAATAAGCCCTCCACTTCTCGGTTATGCAATTTTGTCATAAGCGGGAAGTAAAAATCCAAAAGGTATATTCAAAATTCAAATTTCTGACTTCTCCCGCTCAAATATTTCAAAATTCAAAATTCGAACTGTCGATTTTGACACGTGCCTGGCGCTGGTCATGGCAGCAGTCGCGTCCCATCGCCTTCCCATGCGCCATCATTGCGCCGCCTGACGCGGCGTGACCTCGAGTGGCCACGTCGCCTCCCTCTGTCTTCCTCCTCGCCTATATAAAGGCTTCAACCCCATTGTCTCTCTCACTTCTTCTCGCGCGACCTTCCTGAGTTCCACCAGTCAGTCTCTCCGTTCTAGCCTCCTAGCCCTCCGAGTCAAGTAAGCTTTCTTCCTATCTTTTATTAGCTTTCTTTCTTCATTTTTCCTCCCGGTAGATGTCTTCCTCTGATAGTCAAGGTATCTCTTCCTCAGATGCTTGCGCATCCGAGGAATCTTCAACCTCCTCTTGTTCGACCGGGTCCTCTCTACCCAGTTTCGAGACCCGGTCAGGCCCCAACGCCACCGTCCCTGGACCGCGACCTGTCAACCAGATGCCCGGTCAGGTTTCTCAGGAGAGGGATGAACCGGTCGACGATGAGCCGGCTCCCTATGACCCTGACGGCGAGTCGTATGAGGGATGGGTGAACCGGTTGGAAGCAGCCGGTTACTTTCCCCTCCCCACCAGTTACCCCTCAGACATTTTCCCCCACGTCTCCAAAATTACCCAAAACAAGGTTCGTAGGAATCTCCCCTAGGGGTACATCCTTGAATTTGACCCCAGCTGGCCGAATATTATCGAGCCTCACCGGGATGATAGAATAGGCTTCCACATCACTTCTTTGGAGAGTGGCACCGTCTTCCCCCTCCGTCCCCTCATTGTCGAATTGTGCCACTGTTTCAAAATTCTTCCCGGGCAACTTACGCCCAATGCCCATCGTTTCCTCAACGCCTTTGTAAATATCTGCGTTGAACTTAAGATCGACCCTTCCCTTCGTCTGTTTCTCTTCTTGTTTGAAGTCCTTCCCGGTAAGTCGGGATGCGACGGTTATGTTTATTTCAAGGGCCGCAACGGCCGTCAATTTATCTCCGATCTTCCACAAAGCAACCGGCAGTGGAAGGAAAAATTTGTTTTTATAAAATTTCCTTCCATTTCCCCCCTGGCCGGCATAAAGTGGAACGATCACCTCCTGAAACCGCAATATACTGAGCCGGCCAGCGCTCCAGACTTGGAAGAAAGTTTGGAGAAACTTTTACAAGGGGACCCGTTCACCGGGCAAATGTTCCACTACGGGGCCTGGATTTGGAGGATTTCACCGGGTGGCACGGGTACCCCAAGGGCTGATGAAGCAGAGGGGCACGGGGTACCCGCCCCGGGCAACACTGCGTATGCTGGGGGTTCCAGTCACCCAGGTATCCTCCCTTCTCCTTTCTTCTTTCTTTTATTATACCGGTCCAAGTTCAAGTACTTATAGTTTCGCTTGTTTTACAGAGATGAACTTCAGAGCGTTCAACATTCCCACGAAAAAGACCGGTGGCTCCTTATCTGCTGCCCCAAGAACCGTACCGGTGCAACAGGAGCTGGTGGAGATCAACTCTGAGGAGGAAACTCCTCCGACCGGGAGGACCGGTCCGGCCGGGAGGACCACGGTAAACCCTCCCCTAGATAAGGGGAAGAGTAAGGTCCGAACCAAGCACGCCGCCACCACCCACCCCTCGGCAAAGAGGAGGGGGGGAGAAAGCGTCCCGGCCACAGAGTCGCTAGAGGAGCTCTGGGTCAAGATGGAGCGAAAGCTGAAAGAGGTAACATTCGCCCGGTACACTTTCTTGAATTTACTACTTGTTTGTCGTATTAACCGGTACGTTTGGTTTTGCAGATGGGTGAGGTTGGGCCCGAAACCTTGGGGAGGCTTGTCGAGGACTCCCCTTCCCAGTCGCTTCAGCTGGAGGAAAAGCTGAAGAGGCTTGAAGCCCATAACCGGGAGCTTCAAGACCTGACAACCCGGCAACTTGACGAGATGGCCAACCTCTCGGTGGTTGCCGGTAGGGCGAACGCGGAGGTCCTCCAGCTGAAGGAGGAGAACTCGTTGTTGATGGGGGAAGTCTCCCACCTGAAGGAGGAGGCATGGGTGAAGGAGCAAGAGCTGCCCGGTCGGGCCAGACAGTGGATGGAGGAGAACCTAGTGGAGGCCGCCCGGGTGCTTGCTTCCTCTGAGGAGAGAACCATGGAGGGCTTCAAGCTTCTGTACCGGGAGGACCACGGGAGGGAAATGATTACCCAAATTGGCTCCTATGGTTTCATGTCGGGCCAAAAAAGAGACCGGGAGGCCACCCACGCGATCCTCGCCGACGGGGACCCGCACTTTGACGCTGATTCATACGGCCTCGCCCCCATCCCGGACGAAGAACCCGCACCTCCTTTTCCGCTTGAGTAATCTTCCCGGCTGCGACCGGTTGAATTATTTTGTAAAACTTCAAACTCATTTCCCCGGGAATGCCCGGTGTAGCTGTAAAACACTTAACTTTTTGTTTTGCTTTAATGCAATGCTTAATTTCCATACCGGCTTAGCTTCCATATCTGCATGCTTCTTGATTGATACTTTGATCTTCGCTTCTTAGAACGCCATCATAGGATACCCGACCGGTATAGTAATCAATCACCATACTTCCTTTGACCGGTACTACTTCAAAGTTCTCTCTGGTCACTTCATTTCAAGGATCAGCCCGAGAAACTTTGACCGGTTAAACTTCAATTTTTGCTATTCGAACGTCAACTTTGACCGGCTGAACTTTACTTTGGCCTTTTGGGTAGTTTTGCCAACTCTTTGATAAAGTTTAGTTTGACCGGTGAATTCCTACTCCTCCAAGGTTTGACCGGTCAACTGCCTTGCCTTCCGATGGATGTAGAACTTTCGAAGTTCTGGTTCCCATACCCGACCGGGGTATTCTTTTTTTTTTTTTTATCGGTAGGTTGTAGATGGAAACACCTGTAACCTAGTAATTCTTGAAGTATTCTTAACCGGTAAGAATACTGGAGATTTAACCATGTCGAATGGTCTCGAACCCTCTCCAAGGTTCAAATGCACCCTTCTTCCAGGGCCCCCTCTTCCGGGTGATTAAGTCTTTTAATGGCCCTGTGATTTCTACCATCCCGGGAAGGCCTTAGCTCACCCCCCCGTTCAAGTCTTCCCTGAGAAGGGGAATATAGGATGCGCCACGGTGGACGATCCCCTTCTATTTTTTTTAATGGGCATCTTTTTAGTCCCCAATCAATTTGACGGCGCCGGCTGATTCCCTGACACCAGTCAAACCTCATGGGCCCGTGTAAGTACGGTTCGAACCCTCTTCCAGGTCCAGCCCTCTTGCAGGCATACCCTCTTCCGGGCCCCTCTTCCGGGTTTTGATATTTTTCTATTATACTGAGCAAGACCGGTGTAGTAACCAGCGTGCCGGGTCCGGGCCTGTGTCTCAGTTGGCTTAGCCAAGTGGATTCGATCCACCCAGGAAGCCCTCCTAGGATAGGTTCGACCTATCAATCCTGCCGCTACCAAATAGAGTATTGAACATCATCGGTTTGATTGATAATAAAGTAGGCCTTGCCTAGTATTACAATCATTTGTAGAACTTGCGAAGATGATGGGAATTCCAGGTTCTTTCTACCG